CTGTACTGGTTTGATTGTTTAATGTCTTTTTTTTAATGAATTTTGTAAGGTGTCCTTGAGTGCCATGAAAGGTGCCTTTAAATAAATTTAAGGGTGCTCCGATTGATCGGTCGCCGATCATAATCGGCCGATAATTGCTTTGGGATGTGTGATCGGCGGTCTCTATAAAGGCCGATCCAGAAAAGCCGATCAGATGACGCAAAACTCGCAAGACAATTTTTTTACGCACTGGTAAAAATAGCTTCACCGGTCTGGCAATTCTATTCTACAACAGGGCTCTCAAGTGTCAAGCATTGAGCGTGACAGTCACTCATTTCGGTCTTTTGTCACGCTCTCCCGCCACACATTGTATTTCTCACGCTGAAAAACTATTTGTAATAAAATATTTAATATGCCGCAGCGCCCAAAACTCTGGCCGCGCCGCTCTCACTGTGGAACCGGCATGAATCAAGCGCGTTTCCTCCGGTGTTGTTCTTCGAGCTACACAATAGCCAATCAGAAAATAACACTATTGTATCTGGGTAAGATTTAACGCAACAACCAATGACAAAAATTTATCCAACCCCCGTGCGTCCGTCAAATCACTCGTACATATTTTCTCTCATCAAAACTGAATATGTTCATCAGCGGTTACAGTTATATCAAGCAAGGATACGTTTGTGTTTTATTTTGTGATTACACCGGAATGAATAAGAGTCCGCAACGGCGATAGATTGAAGCGCGCGTCCGAGTGAAGACTGCGCGAGACACAGAGCACTGTATTCATGCAACTGATCGCCGCGGCAATGAGCGCGCAGCTTGAGTTCAAAAACACATTTTAGCGCTAGATTTCTTATTTAATAGCGAACTAAATGAATAATCTGCTAGTTAACTGAAGATGTTTTATTTATTTATATTAGGTACATGGTGGGACAGACTTCACTGGATCTAAAAAAAAAATCAATCTAAACATAGATATGACCAGTAGTGGTGGCTTTCTTAATCTGTTTAAAATAATTTTGCAAGGGTTCTTCACACACACACACACACACACACACACACACAAAAAGGTTTGTCTACCTCTCTCTTCCTCTCTAAATGCCCACAAAATCTGACGAAGCATCCCAGAAAAAAGCAAAGTTAGAGATACAGATATGGAAGTTGTTATTTTTTTATTTATTTTTTTGTTGTTGTTGTTGCTGTACTACCTGTGGTCCTTTAAGTGTATTAGAAAAACTGATGGCTGACTGACTCTAAACTAAAAACAGCAACAAAAAAAGGCTATAGTCAAAATAATGTTTAAAGTAGTCTAAAGCTAAATTTAAAGACTCAGATGTTCTGTCTTTTATTCATTTTATTTTACTTTATCTACAGGAAAGTTGTATGTCAAGCCCTAAGCTGCTCCCAATAACCAAGCTTCTATGTTAATACATGTTGCTTGCAAATAAATACATGCATTGTCTTCTCTTAAATGTAATACTTAATGTACATTGTTGTTAAATATAGTTTAATAAGTAATGCTACATGATAAAAAGAAGTCTTCAAATAGACCCTGTAATCGGTGATCGGTATCGGGTGATACAGCTTCCAGTAATCGGCGATCGGTGATCGGCCCCAAAAATCCTGATCGGAGCACCCCTAAATAAAATGTATTATTATTATTTATTAATATAGCTGTTTGTGAATGTAAACGTTCTACAAAGATGTAAAGTCGAAAGTGCATGATAAATAAAGTTATTGTCTCCAAAAAAAAGAAAGAATCGACTCCGAACAGCCTAAACGAGTCCCGTCTCTGTAATTCGAATCCAGTTCTACGTCACTAGATAAGACATTTGCAGTTTATTTGGACCAGCTTGCTCCTCAGAATCACAACCTGTAAGTATGAAAAATTGTTGATGTATACATTTTCAGCTGGGTGTTCAAAATATGTAGTTTTGTGTTTTATAAACCGGTTATAAATTAGAAATATAGGCTACACATCGGTTTGTTGATGAACACACTTGTTAATGCTGATGGTGAGGAATTACAGCGACATCTCATAGTGTACCTCAAACTGAGTAACGCATCAGTGAGAAACGTCCTGCTCGAGTCGATCTTGCGATGGAGGTTCGGGTTGAATAACTAGTTCTTCCAATGTTTCATCATCGGACTCGAGCTCGGACTGATATGGTAAAATCGATCTCATTGTTACGGTCTATAGAGTGTGTTCAATCAGGACTGAGGAAGGCTGTGGGAGCTTCAGTTATGATAATGGGAGTTTAGCTTCTGACAAGCGCTGTAAGCGGCAGACCAATCGTAACAGGCTGTGTGCCATCTGGCCAATCAGAGCAGAGAAGGCTAACGGAAAGGAGGGATTTAGAGAGACTGATAAATCTGTTTGAGAATCATTGAAAAATGTGGTGTTTCTGACCTTTGATGCATGTAAACCTGTTGTAGGAGACTCCAAAACTAAATTATGAGCTTTTAATATAGCATAATATGGGCACTTTAAGACGTCAGGATATGAATCAGACATTTGTCTGCAGAACCACTCCCTCTGTGCACAGCACTTCTGGGTTTTTTAATGTTCAGGAAATTCCAAAGATATTTGTCCATAAAACAAATTCAGAGAGAGAGAGAGAGAGAGAGAGAGAGAGAGAGAGAGAGAGAGAGAGAGAGAGAGAGAGAGAGAGAGAGAGAGAGAGAGAGAGAGAGAGAGAGAGAGAGAGAGAGAGAGAGAGAGAGACCACCCCTTTCTTCCTGAGCCGTGCACTGACCAATTAACATAGCTGAGGACTTCTGATAAACCCGTGGCCAGTTTGTCATTCCTACACATTGTGCCAAGTAAGCACCATAAGCTAAATATCTATTCTAGATAAAGAGTCAGTGCAGTAAATACAAATATTGTTAATGCACAAAATTATGAATCAAAAAGCCAGCAAAAGTCTCAGTTAAAGCCAAAACCACAAAGTGTTATCCTTTGAAATATGTAGGTTAAGTGACTCACACAAGTAGATAAACCAGTTGATTTAGTAAACACTTCCGAGGAAGAGAATTGCTTCACTTATCATCCTGTGCGGTGTGTGTAAGTAATCTACACACACTTTACTGAACTCATGTGATTCTGGTCGTGTCCTCACAAGCACAAGCAGACCTGTTTCTTTCCCTATGACGTAAGATAATGTCATTAATTAGCGACCAATTAACTGCTTTATCACATCAATCTCTTTTACGTTACATTCCTTTGCTATCAGAAATGTTTCGCCATGCAAATAAAGTTTTTGGACACTTAAGGCAAAAATTTGAACATTTCCATGTTTAAGCATTTATATATTTAGGCTACATTACTGTCATTTTTAACTATTCAGGATGTGATGTTACAACTATGATGTGACGGAATTTATTTTTGAACTTTTTCATCATTTAATATATTGCTATTCTCTTCATTTGTCATTATGATAGACAATTTAGTGAAAAGGGAATTGGAAATGATTATATTATTTACGGTGGAGGGTTAGTAATTTAAACAGGGAAAATATATAAAATTGCTACAGTTATTTGGTCAAACTCATTCAATTAACTTGCTTTAGCATTTTAAAATTATATATCCTGATATAAAGGGCAATATATGTTATGTTTTATACCTTTTACAGTAAAGTTTTAGTAACAACACCAACTAGTTTTTTTTTTTTTTTTTTTACACATAATAAAATGACTAGTGTTAAAAATAATCATCATAAATTGTTTTGGTAACACTTTCCAATAAGGTTTCATTAGTTAACATGAACTAATAATGAACTGCACTTCTTTGTTTATGTTAATTTCAACATTTACTCAAATTATTAAAATCAAAAGTTGTAAGTTATTTGTTAACATTATTTATTGCACTGTGAACTAACAATGAACAGCAGCATTTGTATTAACTAAAGTTAAAAAATATTTTAAAATGCAGTAATAAATGTATTGCTCATGGATTCATGGATTCATGATACATTAATGTTAACAAATGAAACCTTATTGTTAAGTGTTAGCGTTAGCTTTTATTTGTGTGAATGCAATTCATGATGCAGAGAATTAAGCGTCAACATATTGTTTAGGGCTAATGGTTCATTATGGTTTTTAAAATGTTTTTTAAGAACTCTTCTGATTTGTTCAACAAAAGCGATAGAACTGACATCCATCCAACTAATCAATGACTGATCGAAGCCTCGCGGATGGTGTGTCATCCTGCCAGAGAACCGATGCATGACAAGAAAACCAAAAGAACAAAAGCACCAAAAAAAAGATATCTGACATGCTTCACTCATTAATTAAACAGGTATGTATAAATAAATGTGTGATTATATGTCTGGTTTGTTGTAAAGCAGCGAGATAATTTTTACACACAAAACCTCAGCGGACGTTACAGACCTATTAGTGCTAGCTAGCCACCGAAGCTAGCCAACAAAACAATAGCCGTTTATATTAAAAATATATACAAGTCTTACCTTTTTACAGTATCGTGGGCATAGTTTGTGAAATAATTGAATACTAGTGTTTTCCCGTGAGGTAAATTGAAAAGAAGAACCATCAAAATTTGAAGAGGACCATCAGCTTTTCCTGAAAATGCGAATTTGATCTCCACCAACTGCTGACAGGAAACGCGACTTCACTAAAGTATCGCGAGAACTGCGTGACGTGGTCAATGCGTTTTAAATTTTTTTTTTTATTAAATTACAAGTTGCTAACAAGAAAGAAAGAAAGAAAGAAAGAAAGAAAGAAAGAAAGAAAGAAAGAAAGAAAGAAAGAAAGAAAGAAAGAAAGAAAGAAAGAAAGAAAGAAAGAAAGAAAGAAAGAAAGAAAGAAAGAAAGAAAGAAAGACAAATTGTCTTAGTTTGTTGTGTATAATATAGTGTACAGATAAACAGATCCAGTTGGTCCACATTTTAGTGCAATTGCTGGATGTCTAAAAAAAAGTACAAATCTTTCTTTAAGAAAAAAACAACAACATTTAAATAGTGACACAGAAACGAAACCAGTGACTAGAGGCATAGGCCTACTACAAGGTTAAGACATTGTCCTTTGTATGTCCTACACAGGGTCTGAACATTATGCTTTAATATCTAAATAACAACAAATATTTACAAATAAATAAAAGTACTATTTGAAAATAAATAAATAAATAAATAAAAAAGACATAAGCAAAGCAGTGCACTTTCTTTCTCCAAGTACAGCAGTATATTTTAATTGACACTTACTGTGTCCTCCTCCTCCTGCACTGATGTTACCGAGAAAACACTTTTCATTATTTAGAGTTCATAAGCTTTTCAAAAAACATCAGTTCCTGATCCAGGTCGCACCTTCCCCCTTTCTTAAACGTCTGATAGATGGGCCGTTGTTTTTCCCCTTTTGCTCCTTTTGGGAGTCGTTTAATGAGGGAATGAGGATGTTGTTCAGCTTCAGCTGAAGCCAGTCCTGTCTTTCTAACATCTCCTTGTGCTCCCGAACGTTGTGCATGAGCTGAACTTCACTGATTGACCTCTTGCTGTTGCAGATGGAGATATCAGACATGGAGTGGTCAGATTTGAATTGAGATTACAAAACCACAAACAACATCTCGCACCAATATGTTGCATATTACCTGAGCGGTGCTCCCTCCAGATACAACAAACTGCAAAGACCCCACAGCACAATGATAAGCACGGATTTCTCCAAAGAACGTATGGGTAACATAGTGATACCTGTAGGGTAAGTTATAGTAAAGAAACGTTTAATTTCTTATAATTCACAAGTGTCTATATAGTGAGGCAATGGCATCTAAACTTACCAAGTCTTGTTGTCTTTTATTTGACTGCTTTTGTATTTGGTGCTGTACTGAGAGGGTCCATGTGTTGTTCGGTGTCGTATTTGTGTGTTAGGGCTACTCTTCCTCTTTTTATATGCACAAGCCCCCTCCCGTTGGTCATTGATGAGCTATCTGCATTATTGATGGTGATGTCATCCATGCTTTGATGGAGACTGGCATGCACATGACGACACGTGACTACCAACACCCCCCACTAATTCTGTTTTCAACACCTTGGTCGAGACCCCTGTGATCACAGTGCTGTAGAACTAGTGCCATGTACGGCTATGACAGTCAGGCAGGGTGCCACCTTCCACTAAGTAAATACATGTTTCATTATTACCTTCAGAGACTCAAAACACACTCTTAAAATTAATTTGTAATTATTATTCTTAATTATTACGCCTAAGATAGATCTTAAATGGTTGTTTTTTTTGGAATATATTTTTAGATGTTCATTTTAATTTATTTGATTTTTGATTTTTCAGTGGAATAATGCATAGAGCAAAATAAAAGATTCAATATTTTTTATTCTAATTGGCCACGGCAAACTTTTCTTGCACTTCAGTTCATTGAATCTGATGCATTAGTGGCAGTGTTGTGAAACGACAAACGCATCTACTGAAAAACGTATAAACACCTTTGGCAAGGATGATATTTTGGATTATATAGCCAACATTTTTACCCAGCTACTCATTTATCATATGGAAATGATTCCCTAACTTAATTAGGAGAACAGATAAAATTCTATAACTAATTTCTCGTGTTTTTTTTATATATATAACACAACACCATCATATGATCATATGATTTATTGATTTATTGTTATAGCCATTCCGGGATTCGGTCTTGTACTTTATCAGGTCAGACTGAGGAAATAAGACAAAAGTTTGGTGCCAAACATCATGGTGCAAGCAAGGTCCACCTGAAGTTTAAGTGATCTATGGGAGGTGTATAACCTTGTCATACTCTCATGGGACACATTAGGTAACCATGAGAGAAGTTTTCTAAATGTGGAATAGGAATGGCTATGTCATGACACACGCAGTAAGTCCTAGAAAGGAACCAAACTGAAAGAACCAAAACAAATGTCTATTATATCATTGAAAACTCAAGGGATGTTTGCTATATATAGCCAACCCCCTTTTTTTTTAACAGATTGAATCATAATTTCAATAATTCGCTACTCAGAATCTGAATTTAAATTCAGAATTAAGAACTTAATAATAATACTTTATAGTAAATATTAATTTGTTTATAGCATCAAAAAGTGGTGCAATACATAATAATGATAGGTACAAAAAACCTTAAATACATATAAAAAAACATAGAAACCAATTCTATAGAAATTATATAATAAAACAATCCAAATTACATTGAAAAAAATCGACTATACAATTTTTAATGTGACGTAAAAATGAAAAAAAATAGAGATATCACAGAGTAGTCAACATTTGAAGTGGATCAAAAAAGTTCATCAAAGTTGTCCCACGACAAGAACGGCTATTGTTCAAAATTCATGTATAACTTTGATGAAAGGTTTTGATCCACTTCAAATGTTGACTACTGTATATGTAAATCTTCCTGACTTAGACTTGCTGGTATAAATCTATAAGTTTCACTGTAACCTTGAAACTCAGAGCATGTCTAACCAATTTTTTTCTGTATTTAGCTAAAGAAAGTATAAATGTTCATGCATAGCAATAAAAAAATTGCATGTTCGTTGTTATGTGTTCTTGAATCACATAGTTGAGTGGAAGTATACACGAAAACAATATTGGTCCCAGTACGGAGCCTTGGGGAACATCACAAGTGATTGATTAAGCAGTTCACAGCACAGGTATCTATTCGATTGATATCATTGTCTCTCCTATTTTGCATCAAATGTTTAATATTTAATCATTAAAATAATATTCAATAATTATCAATGAGAGCTTAATAATTACAAAATTACAGATTTGGGTTAAGTCAAGACGTTACCCTCAAAACCACATGTTTGTTGAAGCCTGCCATTGCTTAGACAAGGTCTAGGTCTAGGATCTCTTTTAAATGTGATGAGTGTCATCAAGTATTGTAGTTATTACAGTGTCAGATGAGTTGAGGACGTTGAGCACAATATATCACTCACATTGTCCATTTTTTTTTTTTTTTTTTTTTTTTTCATTGCGCCAACCAACAAAGAACACAAAACATATCAAATGTAAGCAGTGTTGCTCTGCAAAAACAAAAACAAATGTCAATTTTACATTATGGAAAAAAAATTGAATTATTTAGCAGTACATATATTGGCATATCATAATCATTCCTTTCTAACACATTTTATGCTTTCTTAATGCTTTATGAATATTAAACAATTGGTACTTTTGGACATATAGTTAAAATAAGAAAATAACTTACTTGTTGCAAGATCCATCCCATGTTAATATGTTGCAATTAAAGTGGCAAAAGGCTCAGACAACTTACCTCATGTCATACATTAATAACTTATGTGTTTATGCACCTGAGAGAGGTTTGGTATGTAGTACAGACTTAACTCAGCGCTGCACATGTTGAGTCAACCCAAGCAAGCTGTTCTCATTACCTCATGTGGTTACAATGTTTGTCATCTCACTAATGGCATGTAGCAGCAGTAGTGTGCGGGGGAACCGCTTAGGATTAAGGTGAAGAATTGCTTACAAACCATTAACCGGGGTCACCCCCATGTTACAACGACAGACATGCAGCATGAAAATCACGCAGGTCTTATTTAAAATGGGCTATAGACATAAAGACGTTTAACCTTTGGCTGAAGCCAGTCCTTTGTTGGGCCTGACAATAATTGGTGAGTTATTTTTAGCTGGGCATGTGTGAGAAATTGAAATGATGAATATGCAACCCCACATGCATTTCAGCTATTCTTTGTTAGACATAAATAATGGAGATGAAACATATTACTCTGTAAACGTCTAGCTGAAAGTGATTTTGTAACCTTGTGCTGCTCTAGTTCACTAGAAAAAATCCCTGTATTTGTGTAATGGATTATCACATTTTTAGAGATCGGAGGATTTTGGGATATTTTATATTTTATGAACTTCCCATGATCATTTAGCCATTATCTTATTTTTATTTTTATTTGTGAGCTGTTTGCTATGGAAGCTTGTTTCCACCACAGAATAAAACATTTTAAAAGATTATTTTTTGTTTGATCTCACAATTGTCAGTTTACATCTCGCAATTCTGACTTTTTACCTCAGAGTTGCGTGATATAAAGTCGCAATTACGAGAAATAAACAAAATTGCATGTTTATATCTCACAATTCTGACTTTATAAGACACATTTCGAACTTTGTATCATGCAATTCTGACTTTATATCTCCCAATTGTGTGTTATAAAGTCACAATTGCGAGATATAAACAATTCTGAGAAAAAAAGTCAGAATTGCGAGTTTATTTCTCGCAACTGCAAGTTTATATCTCACAATTCTGGCTTTATAACTCGCAATTGCGACTTTACATCACGCAATTTTAAGGTAAAAAGTCAGAATTGCGAGATGTAACCTCACAATTGTGAGAAAAAAAGTCAGAATTGTGAGATAAAAAGTTGCAATTAACTTTTTTATTTTTTTATTCTGTGGCGGAAACAAGCTTCCATAGTTTGCTTCACATTCACAGAATAGCTGTCTGTCTGTCAATAAATGGGAAAACAAAGTAACTTGTGCTACTTATTTGAAAAAGTAACTCAGATATTTTGTTGTAAATTTAAAAGTAACGCATCACTTAGTTACTTGAAAAAAGTAATCTGATTGCGTAACTCGTGTTACTTGTCAAGTGTCGCCCCCAGCACTGAGTGTGGTCAATTACTAGCCTGGTTAAAACCAGACCATCTAACTGAGTTATGGTCTGGCAAAGCGTCATAGACAAATCATTTCCAGAGGAGCGTCACCAACGGACGTCGCGGATAGACCTAAACCCAATCAGAGCGATGAAGGAGATGACGTATGCAGAGCGGCAGAGAAACATCTCCAAGTGTTGTTCTTTGCTCGGTTTTTAACAAAAAGGAAACGTTTAAATCGCTTAAAACAGACGCGATAGCTGATTCGAACGAGTGATGTTCGACGGTGGCATCCATCTTTGTAATGTAGGCTACAAAATCTGCTTCAAAATCCCAGCGCTGTCGTCATCGTGTAAAGCCCGCCCCAACGTTTCTGATTGGTGCTGCGATTTCGACGGATTGGAAATGGGCTTGAATGAGCTCTTTCCCAGACTAAAGCCCCGTTCACACTACAAGCGACTTTGTCGCTGCATGTCGCCAGTGGCTGGCGATGAGGTCGCTAGTGGGAGTTCCCACTACTGGTTGCCTTTATGAATGACATCCAATGATGTGGAGAAGGATCATACGCGCTCCGCTCCTATTGGTTGTCGCTCCCGAAAGTCGCTCACCATTTGCATAAAGTTAAACCGATTTCAACTTTGTCGCGTCGCCAGACACGCCCCATCTGGTCGCCAACGGTCGCTGTCGCGCGTGTCGCCGGAAGTCGCCCACTCACCATTGAAATGAATTGGATCGCGTCGCTTGGTCGCGTGTAGTGTGAACGGGGCTTAACTTTCAGAGCAAATCTAAATTTGCCCGGAAGTTGTCTGGGTTTTCCCAGGCTAGTCAATTACAGCATTTACAAAAGTATGTTTTTTTTTTCTTTTAGCAAAATTTGACAGCATTTGAGTAGAGATATTCATAAAAAAAACTTAGAGATAACCAATGCCAATATTTATGCAACTGGAGTTTTCTCTCAAAACCTAGCTACTGAGTTATAACCCTTGTACCAACTTCGTTCATTCTCCCTTACTTCATGGATACTGTAACCTTGAATTATGATATGATATTAATATTATATATTATGATATCAATAAACTGTGTCTTCCTCATTTAACACACTGACTTTACGTTTGGTGTTTAAATTGCCACAATGGAGCAGTTGTTCATACCCACATACCTAAAAATAAATGACCTGTAAAATGTCCACAAGGTGTCAGTGTATGATAATATGTAAAAATGCTCATGGCTCAAATGATTGGTACTTCCGGATTGATTAAT